TGTCTTTTGGACTTTAGGGTAGACAGGCTAACTTTGTGTCCGGGTTTGTCACTCAATTGAGCAAACCATTGAAGGCATGTCCAGGTGCTCAAGCTAACAGAGTCAGTCTGGAAACACTGTTCAGTGCACCCACATCAACAAATCCAAGGGCCAGCCCGTGGCTCACTTGGGAGTGTGGTGCTGACAACACCAAGTCAAGGGGTTACGATCCCCTTACTGGTCATCTTAGAAAAAAAAAAAATCCAGCCCAACCCATCATTATATTACTTCCACCTGATTCAATACCCTTAAGATCCATAACCATATATATTCCTCAGGTTTCTATTGATGCAAATTACAAAAATCCTTATTTTGGCCAGTAGTGTCTCCTTATAGTCATACTTTGTACCTGATGACTCCTCCCCCACTGCCTGTGAGGGACTAAGTCTTATTACAGGTCTGAGAGATTGTGGAGGAAAGTCTTGAGGATCTATAGTCCCTTGCAAGAAAACTATCTCAGGGGAGGTCATTACAGGTTCCTCAGGTAAGGGGAGTCTAAACTCACAGCGGGGAGAAAGGGCTCTTTCTAACAGCAAAGAAGGCCCAGCTAAATCTAAAGGTCAAAATCCTCGGCTTTGTTAGAATCTGCCCATATGTTCCCATCCCAATTTCTCAGGATTCCATTTCTCCCCATTCATGCCTATGACATAAGAGACTCTACAAGCTTGTGAATTCAATGTGTTGTCATTCAGTTGCTCACTGAATTTGGCTTTGGGTCCCTTTTTTTCAAAGAGAAAGAAATGCTGACAATATATGAGTTCCTCAAAATGTCAATATGTAGCCTAATGCTAATAAAACCTTCCAGAGGCTCCAGATAGAGAACTCCAGCCCATGGTGGCAAGTGGGTGTTGAAACTTAGCCCACAAAGGCCAAGAGAACTGGATACACAGCTAGAAATTGAATCTTGAGTACAGATGGGAGTCAAGGTCAGAAGAGCCATGCACGTTGGGAGTGAGTAGTGAACTACCCAGCACTACAGATGAAAGAGCTCTCTTCTACTGGCTGTGAAAAAAGAAACAGGTAGTATCCAGTTGCTACCTCCATTTTTGGATTAACCTAAAGGCCAAGGTCAGCCAGAAGGGCATATATGAGAATCAAAAGGGAACCATTCTGGAAATCTGACTGAACCACTTCCAAGTTCTGCTCTACCCATGGTTATTTCAGTTATGGGAGACAAATCTCTTTGGTTTAAGACAATGGGTCGACAAACTTTTTCTGTAAAGGGCCAGAAACTAAGTATTTTAGATTTTGTGAGCCATAAACTTTGTTACAACTATGAAACTGTCATTGCAGCAAGAAAGCAGCCATAGACAATACATAAACAAATGGACATAATTGCTATATTCCTGTAAAGCTTTAAAGGCAGGGGGCCAGATTTGGCCCACAGGAGGTAGATTGCCAGCCCCTGGTTTAACCCACTAAACTACAATTACCTTGAGTGAGAGTTGGTGGGCTATCCTAATATCTACTAAAAGCGAACAAAACAAGGCATCGAAGGGCCAGGTTTTCTGATATCTAACACAATTTGAGGTAGCATGGGGCTTTACATACTTAGCACGTGACGGTGTGGTCCAGGAAACCACAGGAAATTGTAGAAACCTGCTGCTCACATTGTATATATCCTCTGCTGAGTAAAGTCCTTTAATCTAATAAGCTTTAAACATCACTGAAATGCCTAAGTAGGAAATAGTATTCAATTCTGAACTGCTCGTTCCCATCATTAGGCCCTGCTGGCATCAGGCTGTTCCCTCCCTACACACAGCTTTTCCTCAGGGAACCTTTCTTACAATTTACCTCCAAAATTTACGTATTTCTACTATCTTCAGAATTTGTCCTTGACTTGTTACTTTATAAACAATTTTTTCATTATTCCTTTTTCCACAGCTCAAGATTCTCTTTGCCATACGGTATCTGGAAAGATCCAGCCAGTGCCTGGGCTACCCATTCATCCAGTGAGAAAGTCTTATAAGAACTATGATGCATTAATTTCCACCATTGGAACTGCACTAAAACCTACGCTGAATGGGTTTATGCCTAAGAAACTTCAAATGCATTAATTGCACATACATACAATTATTCATACTCACCAATGTATTTGTACCTTTGAACAATTGTATTTTTTTCTTTTCCAGAGTTCCATTCCTTAATTTTTGCCTTATATACTACGATATATGATTCCATAACTATAAGGCATTATGTTTCTTAGTAATTTTTTTTTCTTTTTTTTTTTTTTTTTTGTGACCGGTAAGGGAATCAGATCCCTTGGCTTGGTGTCGCCCGCACCACGCTCAGCCAGTGAGCACACCAGCCATCCCTATATAGGATCCAAACCTGCGGCCTCAGCACTCCCAGCGCCGCAGTGCTCCCAGCACTGCACTCTCCCGAGTGAGCCACGGGGTCGGCCCTCTTAGTAATTTTTCAAATCAATTTTATGTAGTTTTAATACCTGTTATTGTAAAATAACAGTATTTTACTGCAAAATTGACGCTCACTGAAAGTTTAAAATACAGAAGTTAAACATGAAAAAATTCCTGCAGATTCTCCTTGCCACTGTTTACGTAACAATGAATATCCCCTCACACATGATCTACTGCATTATTCATACTCACTTAGACACATATGACTTTAAGGTATGTGATGGCTTTAAACTACATTAAAATATTACATTCATCTACTGTCATAAGACTTGGCCATATTTTAATGGACCCATTTTATTGAAGGAATGTATAAAAACTTAATTCCTATTGATGAGCACTTCCACTTTTACAAAATTCAGCTACATCTTTGATATGCTACTCACCTTCTCTATCTGAAACTCCTGATCATCAGTTACTATATTATGATTTCCAGATCAAAGCGTTTTTTTCACTCACACCACTAGGAAAAAAGTGTGAAAGTCAGTCATGCCCTAATATCAATGTGTTTGATGGAATTTAACTAATTCTAACGTAATTTTTTGTACTTTTTTCTCAGGGTCGGGAAAGGAGAATTTGGGGTAGAGAACTTGGCAAAACTAATCTACTTCAAATAGTCTCTACCTAAGAGGATTTGATGAGAATAATGCTAATGCTCTTACAAGGCAATCATATTAAAGCCTGGATAAAAACGTGGAGACTAAGAAACCAATGACCAATGAATGCAACATTTACTAAGAAAGGTTTATCATTAGTATTTCTTTCTAACACTTAAATCTCTGCTGTAAGTGTTGAAAAAATAATCAATAATAGTGTAGTATGTACTGTCCTGTTATTGTAACATTAACAATATTAATTTTTCAGTCAGCCTGTACTGTCACAAAAGATAATTGAATCTAGGGCTGGCCCGGTGGCGCACTTGGTAGAGTGCGGCGCTTGGGAGCGCAGCGGCGCTCCCGCCGAGGGT